TTCCTGGATTTGTTCTCTTGGTGTTATTTGTTGTTCTTGTTTCTAGTTTAAGTCACTGTCTTCTTTGTCTCAGTCTGTCTCTCAGTTTCACGTCTGTGTGAATTGTCTCTTGTTTCCTGTTTTATTTTGAAAGTCCCAGTCCTACGTGCAGTGAATCTAGTTTCTTCCCCTACTCTCGTTATGTAATTCAGGGTCTGCAGCCTTAAAGTACGCAGCCTCAACGATCCTCAAGGGCCGCGTACTCAAAGACCGCTAAGGCCGGAAGTGTGAGGCTTGTGAAATGGGACGGTCTAGCCTCCGTTGCGCTGCCCAGGTTGCCTAGCAACCATGATACTAACAGCTGGAAACGTGTCATACAGCTGTGTTTGACAGAAATGAAGGAGAAAATCTTTTGTTCATTTGTTTGTTTGTTTCTACATGAGCTTTGATCATTCTCTGTAAGATTAAGCTCAGCTATTGAACGGCGTATATTTAAAGTAAAGGCTTTAAAACCAAGTTAGTACAAACGTCACTAATGTCACATAACTTTGCCGACATGTGGCCAACAGTAATGTTTAATGTTCTTCGTTATTAAACATTTGCACATAAATAAGTGACATAATATTCAGTACTTAAAGTTACTCTTCGGGGCCCTCATCCGCCGTTTTTTTCGGCAAAATTTATCCACACCCACCGCCGCGTATGCATTCTGGGATATGTTGGGCCACGAAGTCTACACGCCACATCCTTAAAATTCAGGAAAATGAAGGACGCATTTCAGGGCCGCATTTCGAGCAGCCTTTGAATTGGGACAGCCTTCGGCGCGTCACTGTGACGTAATCGGCCTGAATTGGGACACAGCCAGTGTGTTTTTATCCTGCTTGTTACTGGTCTCTGTTCCTCCCTGCTCTTACCTCCCTGCGTCACTCTGTGTTATCTCCCTGAGTTTCTCCTTCTGTGTCTTCCTGCAGATTCACATTTCAGTTTTGTTTTATTAGCTTAGGTTTTCATATGTTTGTCTTTTGCCTCCCTCACCTTTGTTTGTATTTCACTCTCCACAACGAAGCTCACTCACAAAGTATTACTTATAGGTAATACCTTGTATCTTATATCTTATATTCTGATTACCCCTGAATTTCTCCTGTACTTAACAATCTTTATGTTAAACTTAATTATTAGACCTGGTAAAGCAGCAACACTGCTCATTTAGTAAAGATGAAAGAATCTCCCACGATCTGGGGCTCCACGCAAGATCTCATCCCGTGGGGTCAAAATGATCATGAGAACGGTGAGCAAAGATCCCAGAACCACACGGGGGGACCTGGTGAATGACCTGCAGAGAGCTGGGACCAAAGTAACAAAGGTCACCATCAGTAACACACTACAACGGCAGGGAATCAAATCCCGCAGTGCCAGACGTGTTCCGCTGCTGAAGCCAGTGCATGTCCAGGCCCGTCTGAAGTTTGCCAGAGAGCACATGGATGATACAGCAGAGGATTGGGAGAATGTCATGTGGTCAGATGAAACCAAAGTAGAACTTTTTGGTATAAACTCAACTCGTCGTGTTTGGAGGAAGAAGAATACTGAGTTGCATCCCAAGAACACCATACCTACTGTGAAGCATGGGGGTGGAAACATCATGCTATGGGGCTGTTTTTCTGCCAAGGGGACAGGACGACTGATCCGTGTTAAGGACAGAATGAATGGGGCCATGTATCGTGAGATTTTGAGCCAAAACCTCCTTCCATCAGTGAGAACTTTGAAGATGAAACGAGGCTGGGTCTTCCAACATGACAATGATCCAAAACACACCGCCCGGGCAACAAAGGAGTGGCTCCGTAAGAAGCATTTGAAAGTCCTGGAGTGGCCTAGCCAGTCTCCAGACCTCAACCCCATAGAAAATCTGTGGCGGGAGTTGAAAGTCCGTGTTGCTCGGCGACAGCCCCAAAACATCACTGCTCTCGAGAAGATCTGCATGGAGGAATGGGCCAAAATACCAGCTACTGTGTGTGCAAACCTGGTAAAGACCTATAGTAAACGTTTGACCTCTGTTATTGCCAACAAAGGTTATGTTACAAAGTATTGAGTTGTATTTTTGTTATTGACCAAATACTTATTTTCCACCCTATTTACGAATAAATTCTTTACAAATCCTACCATGTGAATTCATGGATTTTTTTTTCACATTCTGTCTCTCACAGTTGAAGTGTACCTCTGGTGCAAATTACTGACCTCTGTCATCATTTTAAGTGGGGGAACTTGCACAATCGGTGGCTGACTAAATACTTTTTTGCCCCACTGTAGTGACATGATTTAAATGGAACCAGCTGTGAAAAGGTTATTTCTTGCATTAAAAAAAGTAATGTGAACTACACATTAGCTTCATGTGTAGTGCACATCACACTACTTTCATGATATGCACTGATTCAGAGATAGAAGCAGCTGCCTGAAACGGTTTCACAGAGTAGCTTACGGAAACATATTTTTGAGTACTCCTACATAGATCCTAGATAGATCTCATGGAATATGACTCTTTCCGTCATCTCGGCTCCAGCTGAACTAAACTGAGAGTGAATTTGGGCTTTAGGGAGGGGTGAAAGCAGAGCGCTGTAAAGGAAAGGGCTGTGATTGGTTCAGCCCCGTGTGGTTCTGGGATCTTTGCTCACCGTTCTCATGATCATTTTGACCCCACGGGATGAGATCTTGCGTGGAGCCCCAGATCGTGGGAGATTCTTTCATCTTTACTAAATAAGCAGTGTTGCTGCTTTACCAGGTCTAATAATTAAGTTTAACATAAAGATTGTTAAGTACAGGAGAAATTCAGGGGTAATCAGAATATAAGATATAAGATACAAGGTATTACCTATAAGTAATACTTCGTGAGTGAGCTTCGTTGTGGAGAGTGAAATACAAACAAAGGTGAGGGAGGCAAAAGACAAACATATGAAAACCTAAGCTAATAAAACAAAACTGAAATGTGAATCTGCAGGAAGACACAGAAGGAGAAACTCAGGGAGATAACACAGAGTGACGCAGGGAGGTAAGAGCAGGGAGGAACAGAGACCACTAACAAGCAGGATAAAAACACACTGGCTGTGTCCCAATTCAGGCCGATTACGTCACAGCGACGCGCCGAAGGCTGTCCCAATTCAAAGGCTGCTCGAAATGCGGCCCTGAAATGCGTCCTTCATTTTCCTGAATTTTAAGGATGTGGCAGTGTAGACTTTGTGGCCCAACATATCCCAGAATGCATAGCGCGGCGGTGGGTGTGGATAAATTTGCCGTAAAAAACGGCGGATGAGGGGCGCCTGAAGAGTAAACTTTAAGTACTGAATATTATGTCACTTATTTATGTGCAAATGTTAAATAACAAAGAACATTAAAACATTACTGTTGGCCACATGTCGGCAAAGTTATGTGACATTAGTGACGTTTGTACTAACTTGGTTTTAAAGCCTTTACTTTAACATATACGGCATTCAATAGCTGAGCTTAATCTTACAGAGAATGATCAAAGCTCATGTAGCAACAAACAAACAAATGAACAAAAGATTTTCTCCTTCATTTCTGTCAAACACAGCTGTATGACACGTTTCCAGCTGTTAGTATCATGGTTGCTAGGCAACTTGGGCAGCGCAACGGAGGCTAGACCGTCCCATTTCACGAGCCTCACACTTCCGGCCTTAGCGGCCTTTGAGTACGCGGCCCTTGAGGATCGTTGAGGCTGCATACTTTAAGACACAGCTGGGTTTAATGATACATAACGAGAGTAGGGGAAGAAACTAGATTCACTGCACGTAGGACTGGGACTTTCAAAATAAAACAGGAAACAAGAGACAATTCACACAGACGTGAAACTGAGAGACAGACTGAGACAAAGAAGACAGTGACTTAAACTAGAAACAAGAACAACAAATAACACCAAGAGAACAAATCCAGGAATAACTTAAACACAAAACACACAGACCCAGGAGGGCATGTTTGTTGCGCCATAGTCAACATCAATCATCCACCATGAAATTTGATTTGCTGTAAGTTAGACAGTAAGTTCAAGTTACATGGTACTATGAGCCTTATCATGGCTGTTTGCAGCTTTAATTTTAAATGTATTGTCTTTTATCATGATTTAATGTGTGCTATCACTTAAACACTACCATGACAAATTTGGGTTTTAGAAATAAATCATCAAAAATGTCCATCCATCCATTCGCTTCCGCTTATCCTTTTCAGGGTCGCGGGGGGCGCTGGAGCCTATCCCAGCTGTCATAGGGCTGTAGCAACTAATATTAGTGAAACTCTGACCACAAGACAGGACAGACAACATGAGACAGTGTGGGAAATATTTTAATGTGGAACTTCGTAGAACATGTTGTGAACAGTTATTTACATATAATACATATTTACACCTATTTAAGGTGGAATCGGCTTATCCACCCACTCTCACAACATCATATCCTGATCCTGGGTTAGTGTCTCGGTCTCAGATCACAACATCAGCACAGGCTTGGCTTGGGTGAGGTATTGAGTGGTTCTTGTCCATGACAGCTGCAGGTACAGTGCCATCAGCCATGCTGCACCACATGTCTGCCCAGGAACATTAGTGTGGCTGAGTCTCATGTAAACATTGTGCTAAAGTGGTGGGAAAGTGGCTGCAAGCTGGCTGCACTGTGTCCAATACTCTCAGTATGATATCCACAAACCTCTGAGTGTCACAGAGTGGGCCTGTGCTCAGCTCACTGTGCCCCATTCAATTCTACTTGCATAGTTTTACAAGTAAAATTAAAAGTTGCTCAATGATAAGTTATTGTAGCAACAACTAAGTCCATGGTCATTATTTGTTAATAGGAGCTTAAAGCTTCTGCACCAATCATGGAGCAGCAGGTTTAGAGCATGTGGATCTACAAAAGTAAGTCCCAGTAAGATGGGCTGAGCCTTACATACTAGAAGAAACATGTCATTCCCAGCAGATGAAGCGCCCTTTAACCAACACTGGATCAGATTATCTGGATGTATTTGACAGGGACAGTGTTCATGTTCATGGACATCAGGATAAAAACAGAAGATGGAAACCTGCCAGATTTGAGCTAAACTGCTCATTTCCATGTGTAGTCTCTGGGCAGGTCACATGACTCTATCCAACATACAAAGACACACAAGAAAAGCCAGAGAAACAAAGACAAATCCAAACGAATCCATCATACTGAGTCAAAGTGATCACAGGTCTGCTTTGTTGGAGATGAGCCTTCAAAGTGGAACATGTGGACTGTTCCTTTATTACTACCACTGAAGGCCACGCCCCTCTGGTCATGTGATCATGTGGTTTGTAGGAACGCTCCTCTTCCTCAGAGGATCCACCTGTGCTTCCTCTCCTCTCTCCTCCACCTGTTACAGTGAGGGAACGTCCTCCATGATGGAGGAGCTGCTGGAAAGTGCTGAGAGTTTCCTCCAGAGTGAGACCTCTGTCACAGTTCAGAGGATCTACGGCAGCAGAGACCTTCATGGACACTAAAAGTCTCAAACACACAACAACAACATCACACTGACTCCACTCTGACATCACTGATCAATAATCAAAGAACACACAGATCAAACTGATTGATCAGCCATCAGAGGAGTCGGATCAATGGAGCTGCTTCTGTTCCTGATGTCCCCTGTTTGATCCTGGACCTGAACTCTGCCTGCAGAGGAGACACAAGACAATTACCAAGTGATAGTGCTGCTGCTTAGAGCCACAACTGCAGTCATCACACAGTAACTCCAAAGGAGACACCGAGCGAATGAAATACAAGCCTTCCATTCCATCAGTGAGTGTGTTTGTTTGTTTTTTTGTGTTCATGTTTCATGTGTGGACATGCTGCAAATCAATTTCCCATTGTGGACAATAAAGTTACAATTCAACCACCACAGATGTCCAGTACAACAGTGAAACCTGGCACATGCAAACTGATGAGCAGGAATTGGAGTACAACTTATGAGGAGCTTTGTATTGTGTTCTGCAGAAATCACCATTTCCTAAATGTTAGAAAGACAAACGATATGCTGGCTGATTAATGATGGAAAAACAAGGTGCAGAGAGGTCTGTTAACAGCAGCAGTACCAGAGATGCCAACAGGATCAGCAAACTGATTCACAAAGCCGGAAACATCAGTTTTCAGAATCTGGAGGCATTTGAGTCACTGAGGGTCGTGAGGTCAACGAACAACTAGCTCTCCACCATGAACAACCCATCTTCTGGGGATTGTGGGTGCAGGGTTTTACCGTGTAATAAATAGTGCTGTGAGTCAACTGTTGCTGGTATTTACACTATAGAAAGGGAAATGAATTCAATCTCAGCCACTCAGCACTACAGAGACAACAGAGCTCCTTCTTATTCAACCCTGCCTTCATAAAGAACGTGTCAGAAAATCATTTTCTGTAAAACTGAGCAATAGCTCTTCCTTCTGTGACATGTGTCACTGGCAGGCATTACTCATCTTCTTTCTACCTTATACCATCTTGCAGATGTCTCTTAGATTTATAGTGTACTAAAATTCTATAAAACCTTCTTGCATAATCCCAGTCATTTTTTCTATCTATGTATCTGTGTATCAAACAAACCTTTGACTTTCAGCAGCACTGTTTTGTTTCGGATCCATCCATCTCTCCAGACTCTACAGCTGTATCTCCTACTGTCTCCATCTGTGGGGTGTTTCAGGGTCAGACTGAGGTCTCCAGTTTTCAGCAGGTCTTCATTCATCTTCGTTCGGTCTCTGTAAACCTGGTGCTGTTTGTCAAGCTGGTCAGAGCCGTTCTTATACACGTGAACTGCTCTGTAAGAACTGTCCTCCCACCTCACTCCAGCATCTTCAGGCAGGTTTTGTGTGGTTTTGAAGGGCAGCTGGACAGACTCCGCCCCCTCCTCCACCTCCACCTGACACACTGAGAGGACAACAAACACAACATGAGCTGTACAAAGTGTGATTGGTGTTCAGAGCAGCATCATGTGACTCTTGTTCTGCACTAAATGATACAGATCAACAGGTTGTGGATAGAAAACCGATTCCTTCAGCAGAGGATCCATATCACACTTGAAGCATGTCGTCGGAAAACGATCAGTGAAAATGGGACACTTTGAGCCAGTTTGAGCCTGTAAAGGGAACATAAGTTTGACTTTTACGGATTTGATCATTTTCTTTTTAAAAAGTCATGTTCAATGGGTGTGAAAGAAAATCTGCTAAAGGTGTCTGTTGCATTCAAGTTGTCTTTAATTTAACTGCAACTTAGCTAATGCTTGGTGAACATCTTCATAGCTAAGACTAAGATGGCTGTGTTATGCTGCTGATTACTCCTCTTGGTAATGTTCTTCTGGTGCTAACAGGTCAATCTTTGAGACGCTGAATGTTCCCAGTTTGCTGCTGTGAAACTAGAAGTGATGACTATTATTGTAACAGCACTGCAGCTGGAACTGCTGACAGGGCTGGAGATGAACTGGATTCTGATTTCAGGGACAGTTTTGGCTTTCAGTCGTCATCAAAACACTTTGTTTCATTCATGTTGCTCTGAAGCTTTCCTTTCTTCTCATTGACGTGTTCTGAACCAATCACAGCCCTTTCCTTTACAGCGCTCTGCTTTCACCCCTCCCTGAAAGCCCAAATTCACTCTCAGTTTAGTTCAGCTGGAGCCGAGATGACGGAAAGAGTCATATTCCATGAGATCTATCTAGGATCTATGTAGGAGTACTCAAAAATATGTTTCCGTAAGCTACTCTGTGAAACCGTTTCAGGCAGCTGCTTCTATCTCTGAATCAGTGCATATCATGAAAGTAGTGTGATGTGCACTACACATGAAGCTAATGTGTAGTTCACATTACTTTTTTTAATGCAAGAAATAACCTTTTCACAGCTGGTTCCCATTTAAATTCAATGGTCACTATCAGTGGGGCAAAAAAGTATTTAGTCAGCCACCGATTGTGCAAGTTCCCCCACTTAAAATGATGACAGAGGTCAGTAATTTGCACCAGAGGTACACTTCAACTGTGAGAGACAGAATGTGAAAAAAAAATCCATGAATCCACATGGTAGGATTTGTAAAGAATTTATTCGTAAATTAGGGTGGAAAATAAGTATTTGGTCAATAACAAAAATACAACTCAATACTTTGTAACATAACCTTTGTTGGCAATAACAGAGGTCAAACGTTTACTATAGGTCTTTACCAGGTTTGCACACACAGTAGCTGGTATTTTGGCCCATTCCTCCATGCAGATCTTCTCGAGAGCAGTGATGTTTTGGGGCTGTCGCCGAGCAACACGGACTTTCAACTCCCGCCACAGATTTTCTATGGGGTTGAGGTCTGGAGACTGGCTAGGCCACTCCAGGACTTTCAAATGCTTCTTACGGAGCCACTCCTTTGTTGCCCGGGCGGTGTGTTTTGGATCATTGTCATGTTGGAAGACCCAGCCTCGTTTCATCTTCAAAGTTCTCACTGATGGAAGGAGGTTTTGGCTCAAAATCTCACGATACATGGCCCCATTCATTCTGTCCTTAACACGGATCAGTCGTCCTGTCCCCTTGGCAGAAAAACAGCCCCATAGCATGATGTTTCCACCCCCATGCTTCACAGTAGGTATGGTGTTCTTGGGATGCAACTCAGTATTCTTCTTCCTCCAAACACGACGAGTTGAGTTTATACCAAAAAGTTCTACTTTGGTTTCATCTGACCACATGACATTCTCCCAATCCTCTGCTGTATCATCCATGTGCTCTCTGGCAAACTTCAGACGGGCCTGGACATGCACTGGCTTCAGCAGCGGAACACGTCTGGCACTGCGGGATTTGATTCCCTGCCGTTGTAGTGTGTTACTGATGGTGACCTTTGTTACTTTGGTCCCAGCTCTCTGCAGGTCATTCACCAGGTCCCCCCGTGTGGTTCTGGGATCTTTGCTCACCGTTCTCATGATCATTTTGACCCCACGGGATGAGATCTTGCGTGGAGCCCCAGATCGTGGGAGATTCTTTCATCTTTACTAAATGAGCAGTGTTGCTGCTTTACCAGGTCTAATAATTAAGTTTAACATAAAGATTGTTAAGTACAGGAGAAATTCAGGGGTAATCAGAATATAAGATATAAGATACAAGGTATTACCTATAAGTAATACTTTGTGAGTGAGCTTCGTTGTGGAGAGTGAAATACAAACAAAGGTGAGGGAGGCAAAAGACAAACATATGAAAACCTAAGCTAATAAAACAAAACTGAAATGTGAATCTGCAGGAAGACACAGAAGGAGAAACTCAGGGAGATAACACAGAGTGACGCAGGGAGGTAAGAGCAGGGAGGAACAGAGACCAGTAACAAGCAGGATAAAAACACACTGGCTGTGTCCCAATTCAGGCCGATTACGTCACAGTGACGCGCCGAAGGCTGTCCCAATTCAAAGGCTGCTCGAAATGCGGCCCTGAAATGCGTCCTTCATTTTCCTGAATTTTAAGGATGTGGCAGTGTAGACTTTGTGGCCCAACATATCCCAGAATGCATAGCGCGGCGGTGGGTGTGGATAAATTTGCCGTAAAAAACGGCGGATGAGGGGCGCCCGAAGAGTAACTTTAAGTACTGAATATTATGTCACTTATTTATGTGCAAATGTTTAATAACGAAGAACATTAAACATTACTGTTGGCCACATGTCGGCAAAGTTATGTGACATTAGTGACGTTTGTACTAACTTGGTTTTAAAGCCTTTACTTTAAATATACGCCGTTCAATAGCTGAGCTTAATCTTACAGAGAATGATCAAAGCTCATGTAGAAACAAACAAACAAATGAACAAAAGATTTTCTCCTTCATTTCTGTCAAACACAGCTGTATGACACGTTTCCAGCTGTTAGTATCATGGTTGCTAGGCAACCTGGGCAGCGCAACGGAGGCTAGACCGTCCCATTTCACAAGCCTCACACTTCCGGCCTTAGCGGTCTTTGAGTACGCGGCCCTTGAGGATCGTTGAGGCTGCGTACTTTAAGGCTGCAGACCCTGAATTACATAACGAGAGTAGGGGAAGAAACTAGATTCACTGCACGTAGGACTGGGACTTTCAAAATAAAACAGGAAACAAGAGACAATTCACACAGACGTGAAACTGAGAGACAGACTGAGACAAAGAAGACAGTGACTTAAACTAGAAACAAGAACAACAAATAACACCAAGAGAACAAATCCAGGAATAACTTAAACACAAAACACACAGACCCAGGAGGGCATGTTTGTTGCGCCATAGTCAACATCAATCATCCACCATGAAATTTGATTTGCTGTAAGTTAGACAGTAAGTTCAAGTTACATGGTACTATGAGCCTTATCATGGCTGTTTGCAGCTTTAATTTTAAATGTATTGTCTTTTATCATGATTTAATGTGTGCTATCACTTAAACACTACCATGACAAATTTGGGTTTTAGAAATAAATCATCAAAAATGTCCATCCATCCATTCGCTTCCGCTTATCCTTTTCAGGGTCGCGGGGCGCTGGAGCCTATCCCAGCTGTCATAGGGCGAGAGGCGGGGTACACCCTGGACAGGTCGCCAGTCTGTCGCAGGGCCAACACACAGGGACAGACAACCATTCACACTCACATTCACTCGCACATTCACACCTAGTGACAATTTGGATTATCCAATTAACCTATCCCCACAAGCTGCATGTCTTTGGACGGTGGGAGGAAGCCGGAGTACCCGGAGAGAACCCACGCAAACACGGGGAGAACATGCAAACTCCACACAGAAAGACCCCGGCCTGATGGTGGAATTGAACTCAGGACCTTCTTGCTGTGCGGCAACAGTGCTAACCACCGTGCCACCGTGCTGCCGTTTTAAATTAACCTTTAACAACTAGATTCAAACTAAAAGCTTTTAGAGAATAAACTCCTGCATGACCTCTGACCTTTGACCTGTATCTACAGCACTGACCTCTGACTTTCAGCTCCACCTTTCTCTTCAGCAGGATGTTTCCCTCCCTGCTGTAGACGGTGCAGGTGTAGGTCCTGTTGTCTCCATCTGTGGGGTGTTTCAGGGTCAGACTGAGGTCTCCAGTTTTCAGCAGGTCTTCATTCATCTTCGTTCGGTCTCTGTAATCCTGGTGCTGTTCTTCAGGCTGGTCAGAGCCGTTCTCATACACGTGGACCTTCCTGTTGTTTGGTCTACTCTGTATCACTATGATCGTCACTTCCTCACTCCACT